AGCTACTAAAAGCTACATCTACGGGAAGAAAACTTATTGAACCTAATCTTGGAAATAAGCTTCAAGAAAAATACCATGAAGTTGACGCATTCTTCGAAACAACTGAAATTTGTTAAAGGAGTTAGCCGAGAAACCAAACAATCGGTATTGAAATCAGTTGTGTACTGCAAAAATGTTAAAAAATTTCTACTTTATGTACGAGAGAAAAGACGATGTTCTGCAAATAGTTTTATCACCAAAATCGGCATAGACGGACGTGGAGGGTCTTTAAAAATAGGTGTAAATATTCAAGACAACAAATACAAAGATTCTAATACCAGTTTAGAAAACAACCATGGAAAATCTAACAAAACATTAAAAGACTCAGGAGTCAAATAGTTATTTTTTATTGCGATTGTTTAAAACGCCCAAGAAAATTATAGTAACGTGGAAAAATTGTGGAACATGTTAAAGGTTAATGATATTGATAAATTGTATGTTGCGTGTGATTTAAAACTTGTGAACATATTGCAATAATAATGCCCCATAGCTCTATGTACCCATGCACCTGGTGTAATATTGACAAATACCATTTGTTCAATAATGGCATTCTAAGAACTCTTCAAAGGAACGTTGAAAATTATGAAAAGTGGGTATCTTCAGGAGCCAACAAATCAAAATCGAAATTTTTCTTCAACTGCATTATTGCTTCTGCCTCATCGACAAACACAGAAATTTTAAAAATAATCCCACCCCCAGAATTGCACTTGTTGATAGGATCTGTGAATACTATTTACAATGCTATGTACAAAGAATTTACAGATATTTCCGTGCAATGACCAACGCTTTGTAATGTAGAAAAAGACGCAATGTATGGAAGTACGTTTAATGGTATTGCTTGCGATTGCTACTCTCAAAAGTGCGTTCGATTTGCCCTCTACAGTGTTTGAAATATGTCAAATCATTTAGTAGCTTAGAAATAGTTGTAAAATAATGTTTTCGCGTCAAGTTGAATAATAGTTTTCCAATGGCTATAGAACAGTTTCGAAAAGATTACTTAGATTTAGAGATAAATGTAACTCCGAAAATTCACGCAATTTTCTATTATGTAGAAGAATTTTGCAATCTCGAAGATAGCGGCTTGGGTAAATTCAGCGAACAGGCATCGGAATCAGTTCATGCCGACTTCAAAAAGGTCTGGGAGCGATATAAGATAACCGAATCACACCCAGACTTTCCTTCTAAGGTCCTTGCAGCAGTTAGGTTTTATAACGGAATACATTTGTAATAATTATAATTATTTAGTTTATTGTTTAAATAACTGTCTTCGCAGTGGTATTCTCTCTAAAAATGAATTAGTCAAAAATGACTAATTTAATAGTTATTAGTGGCTGCTTTTTCACTTGTACCATGTTAACCATGGAATACCATGATATCCCAAAATTTAACAGCCAATTCTTATGTAAAATTGTCCCCTGAATTCGAAAATATCATCAAAAATTATGAAAGTGGAGCAGTTTTTAAGATATAGTCAATTCCATATTAAATGGAAAATTGACTATATCTCAAAAACTGTTCTACTTTTTTAACTTTGATTCAGGGGACAATTTTACATAGGAATTGGCTGTTCAATTTTGGGATACCATGGTATTCCATGGTTAACCATGATACAAGTGAAAAAACAGCCACTAATAACTATTAAAATAGTCATTTTTGACTAATTCATTTTTAGAGAGTTTATTGTATTAAGGATCTAAAATAAAAAAATATAATATTTCTTCAACCGAGTTAATAATTATTACGTTTTGTCAACCATTCAGATATAAATCTTAACCCATATATTTTTTATGAAACGCCCCATAATTTAAAAAATTATCCTATTTTTTTTCAAATAATGTATCATTATTTTTAAAAAAGCACTACAAGTAAAAAAAAAGAAAAATGGGTATGGACATTTTTTTCGAGGTTATTTTTTTTAGACGAACCGTGAATCATATTGCAAACATTTATTTTATTATTTTATTATTATAGGTACCCACATCTAAAAGTGGAGCAAGCAATACTTTAACGTTCACATATTTTACTGTTGCTTTTAAAAACAATATGTTATGTTTAATATACTTAGATAATTTAATAAAAAGAAATTTAGGTTTTTTGTATTAAAATTAAGTTTTAAAATGTATAATATTAGCTTAATATCAGATGCTTTTTATTTTTTACACCTAAAACCTAAAACCTGTTTTTGGGAATAATTAATATTATTAATACTTAAATTGCATTTCTCGTTTCTACTTAGAGTTTATATAAATATTTTAGTTAACATATCTGTTGAATTTACAAACTCTAGGTATTTATAAACTAGTTAGAGACTACTAAATCTGCACTTTGTTGCATGTTGCTCACTATAAAGTACCTTGGACAATATCTAAACCCCAGTGTACAGGAACTTTATTAAAATCAAGCAAATAATGCGAGTACAAAAACAAAGTTTTAAGCGATTTTATATAAGTTTAAAATTTGCTTCATATTACATAATACACTGTGCACTTACCTGTATCTTTTTTGCTTGAATTCATAATATCATTGTTATACGAGATGTGTTCAGAAAATAACGGGAATTTTTAAATTTCGCGGGTTTGGAGAGTCCAGTTGTCATAAAATTGTCATTATTGTGTTGGTATACTTACCCCTGAAGAATGATAAATGTTTTCACTGTTTACTTTGTCAGTGGCAGCCACTAAGGTTAGACGTGTTTTTATGAGCTCGGCGATTTTCGTTCGTTAAAAGAAATGGATCAAAGAAGTTATATCAAATTTTGGGTAAAAAATGAAATAAAGTGTGTGAAATGTTAAGAAAGGCCTATGGTGAGTCTGCTATGAGTAAAACAAGAGATTATAAGTGATATATGAGTTTCCAAGATGGCCGTAAAGACGTTAAAGATGACGAACGCCCCGGACGCCCAAGCACATTAACAACCGATAAAAGTGGAAGGAAGGTTATGAACGATCACCGAATCACAATCAGAGAAGTCGCTGATGATGTTGGCATATCGATGAAATTTTTTCGAATGTTTTGGGTACGAAACTCGTGGCAGCAAAATTTGTTTTTGCCAAAAACAATACTGTAATGATGCCCCAGCCGTCGTTTTGCAAGCATAAATTACATTAAAAGCGCATCGCTGAAAGAACTAAAGACTATCCCAAAGATCGAGTTTGAGAAGAGTTTAGAGGATTAGAAGAAGCGCTGGCACAAGTGCATAATATCTAATGGGGACTATTTTAAAGACGGCAACTTTAATGTACACGAATAAATAAATACTTTTTTCAAAAAACGAAAATTCCCGTTATTTTCTGAACACACCTCTTATAGGATAGGTCAGTTACATCCAGTGCACAGTGTGTTAAATTGATTATCTAGCTAGACAAAACCTAATTTAAAAACAACCTGAAATAAAGAAAAATTTAATTAAATAAGCTTCTTCAGTTCTCCCTGTTATGATTTCCATTACTTAAAACGTACGGCAATAGTGTATTCAGCTCTATGCACGCGCCAATTAGGGGCGTATCATTGTTTATAAACATACTTAGCCGTGTATGCGTTGCAGAAAGGTGGTGTGATTTTGACAGTGTGTCAAGTTAAATCAAATTTTGAACTGTGGCGCTATGGATCTAGGTATAAACTACTTAATTTTTATTATTAGGGATTTATAATATCGGTAATCATCAACAGGCTACAGATATAGAAATTCACTTGGTGTTGTTGAATACGGACAATATTTATTGAGCAATAAGTATTGTAATCGAGCAATATCGGGTGCACTTTCAATATTTGTTTTGTTTTATAACGTCTACAGATTACTCATGTGCCTTCATTTATTGCCCCAATTTGCCTCTTCTACCGGGTGTAACCGAAAACCGGCTCAACCCTTTTTTACTAGCAAATTTTGGAATAGGGTTGCAGTTTAGGAGTAATAATAAAGAGTTAATTTATAATTATTTCAACCTTCAATGGACACCACATAACTTCCGGTTTTCCCGGAAATAATGCCAACTTTCGTTTTTTCAATGAATCACGCATATTTTTGTCGCAAATGTGCATCGTATTCAAAATTTTCTCCCGATTTTAAATATACAAAAATATACAGGGTGTTTCTTTGGAAAAAGTCAAGTTGACCAATTTACAGCGAAACCGAAAGTTTATTTTTTATTGTTACCTTTAAATTTTAACCCTATATATATTTTTAGGCACAACTATTTCTCGCTTGGTTCTCTCTTAATGAAAATCCCCTATGCCTTTTTATTTTGGATAAATTACACATAAGTGCAAAAAATAAAGAACTCATTGTTTCTGTTAAGCAAAGTATATCGACGTTTGAAAATGAAATTAAAAAAAGATGGAAAGAAAGTAATAGGACACAACACAGATTTCTTTAAAAAAATTCCGCCTGGTTGCAAGGAAATTTTAGGCTTCCAGATAGCATTATTCGCCATTTTACCGCTGTTCCATTAACTTCAACATCTGGCGGACGTCCCCAAAAATATTTTCAGATGAGTTGCCATAAGAGCAAACTTCGAAAAATTCAACCGTTGCTGGAATCTCACTCAAATAACCAATTAGCATTTGCAACTGAAGTGAGCTTACGTTCAGCTGGTAAAAGAGATGCAGCTCAACTTGTAAAAGCGGCAACTGAAACGCCAGATGAGGCTACCAAAATTAAAAAAAAAAATTTTTCCCTACAGAACCACATGCAGTGTTTAGTTCAGAAGAAGCACTAGAGTTAATGGTAGACGCTCAACTGACTGTAGAACAATACAAAACAATTTACCGTAAAGCGAAAGCCAAAAATTGCAACTTGTTTCCTGCATATCATGTTGTACAAAAAGAAAAATTAGAGTGTTATGTTCCCAAAACAGCAACTTATATTACTGAAGTATCTGCAGAGGTAAAGTTACAAGCGCTCGTGGATCACACAATTTCACGAACTTCCGATCAAGCTTCTATTTGAAAAGGAGACAACGGAAATGTCAAAACGAGAAATAGGTTTAATTGAGAGGCAAATTGACCATCTCCGCCCTACATCAATATATATTAATAAAACAGAAAGGCTGATTAAGCAAAAATTGGTCATGACTATGGTTGATGGTAAGATCTGCAACGCCATCACTGAAACTTCCTCTTCAATATGCTACATTTGCGGGTCAACTCCAAAGAAGATGAATAATTTAGAAAACCAAAAAATTGTAAAAAATCCAAAGTATTATTGTTTTGGATTATCAAGCCTCCATGCTTGGATTAGGTGTTTCGAATGTTTGTTACACATTTCTTACCGATTGGATATTAGGAAATGGCAAATCAAGAAAGAGGATAAAGCCAAATGTGATAAAAGAAAACAAAACATTCAAGACAAATTTAAAACCATGATGGGACTTTTGGTAGATAGACCAAAACCTGGAGGAAGTGGAAATTCCAACGACGGAAATACGGCCAGACGTTTCTTTACAAATCCTGCTCTTGTTTCAGAAATAACAGGAGTAAGCGAAACCCTAATCAAAAGAATTTATACGATTTTGCGCACGATTTCAAGTGGATATGCTGTAAATACCTCGGCTTTTAATGATTATGCAATGGAAACAGCAAGATTATATATAACCCTCTATTCATGGTATTATATGCCTGCAAGTGTTCACAAGCTTTTGATACACGGTGCAGAAATAATTAAACATGCAATTTTACCAATCGGTCAACTCTCGGAAGAAGCACAGGAGGCTCGAAACAAAGATTGTAAAAGATATCGGAAGAATAATACCAGGAAAACATCCAGAGAGGATACCATGGAAGATCTCTTGCATATTCTTTTGGTTTCTTCCGACCCAGTTATTTCCAGTCTTAAGTCATTTCAACACAAGAGTGTGGGTGGGAAGAGCTTTCCCCCAGAAGTGATTTAATTACTCGCTGAACCAAGTACAGATTCCCTTGGAAATGAAGCCGAAGAAGTTGATAAATGATTAATTACTATAAATATATTTTGTTATCTTTCATATTTATATTTTTTTATCAGATTTGAATTCAGTGACCTCAAATACCCAGTTTACAGAGAAAATTTTTAATTTCTTATGTCATTTAGGTTTTGTCTAGCTAGATAATTAATTTAACACACTGTGCAGTGGCTCCCTGGTTTTGTCAAAAATATTTCATATTTTTTTTATTAAAAAACAAAAGCTGTAATGCAAAAATGATAGAGGAAAAACTTTCTTGTTTTGGCGTGTACTGTCATCCCCCAAAGGATGACAATTTATTAGGTGACACTCTGTATTGGGTAAAAGGTTAAATATAAAATCATACTATTTCCAACAAATTATAGTAAATTGACTTAAACAACCCAAGTATAATTTTCTATAGAAAAACCAATCCAACTATCTTGGATAACGTAGCATATTTATAGAAAATTATGCTCCAATAGCAGGTTGCAACTTTGTTCAATTTTTTTCAAACGGATTTCTCTGTATACCAAGAGATAGTACTTTGAAATGATTTTAATGCCTAGACCTTAAAATACTTTGTTTCCTCCGAAACAACGCTTAGGGTCCTGTGCATTGAGGCTTCCAAACTCGCCTGATTTAAACCATATCGGCTATTGAGTGTGGTCAATCTTAGAGAAAATTGTTTTAAAAAGCCGGTACTATAACGAAAACATATAAGACGCACATGGTATAGAATTACGGTGGAGAAGAACAGTCGTATGCAAATAAAAAGCGTACAGCCTTAGAATGAGAGGTACTTGTCAAATATTGCGAGTTAGGTTATAAAAATACAGTGCCGTAGATGTAAACCAGTCGTCAGTTAACTGTCGGCCAGTGGCGGCGGGTTCTAAAGGGCACAAGGGCGCGTGCCCACCCAACCGCCCAGATAAAAAGTAATAAAAGTTATTTGTTGCATTGTGCATTATTTTAGTTATACGTAACACCATTGTAATTACTATTTAAGGTAGTTGTCGTGGTACAATATTGTCATATTTTTTTTAGATTATACGCACCGTAAAAGTAAACGAGCTTGTATCTAAGTGATTTATAATTAGGGATGGGATATTTAGGTACTAAAAACTGAAAAATAGGTAACTAAAAAGGTACTAAAAAAAAGCATATTAGGTTAAAAAAACAGCATTTTAGGTAAAAAAAATCATTAAAAGTTTAAGTTTCGTTTATAATTTTGTTTAGCCGCATACCCAAACACAGAACATACCCACAATAAACTAATTCTATGCAATAAACTGTGTTTTACTGAGTGACACTCACTACACAGAAGTTCTATGATAGAACATAAGCTCACTAGTAGTAAGTAACTACAAAGAAGGTAACTGTAAAGAAAGTTACTGTTACAGTCTGTAACCATAAGAAAAAATTCTATACCGTTGAGTTGCACGCCCTGGATAAAATATTGGAGCAAATTTTAAAAAGAACAAAAAAAATAAAATAAGTAAAAATACGTGTAAAAATAGGTAACAAATATGTGAAAATAAACTGACAAATTAAAAAAATATGTAACAAAAGTATAAAAAGGTAGTTTAAAGCAAAAACCTCCAAAAAGGTAAACCCAGTAAACACACATACGTTAATTAAACGTTTTTTTAAACCGTAACACCGCATATTTTTAACGTACAATCAACTTTAAAATGTCGCAGATTATAACGTTTAACAATACTAATAAATAAACGTTTAATTTTGGCCTTAAGAAAACGATCATTACACGTTTCGAAATGTTACATTTATAACGTTTATCTATACGTTATATTTAAATTCATATTAATGTCATTTCTAACGTTAGTTCTATAATAAATAAAACTCCACAAATACTTGTTTTTACAACGTATTTATTAAACGTTCGTTTAACGTTAACTGCAACATGAATACAGGGTGTTTAAAGGTCGTCTTTAGGTGAATAATTTTTTTCGTTCGCTGGAAAATTTGGTTGCTTCTAAAACACAAAAAAGAAATTTGTTAAACGATGAAAAATAGACTAATTTTTTAAAAATCCCTATAAGATTAAAAAAAATGGCTTAAAAAGCTTGTTTTCAGCTGGCTTTGTTGTTCAACAGATTAAATTTAAAAATTTGTATTGTAGAATATCGCTGGGCTGAAATTTGATAAAAAAATCCGGTATTTTTAGCGCACCCGGTATAATATGAGTGTTCTCGAAATACTAATTTACAATACGTACACCATCTTAAGTTCTTGTTGAATAGATCTATAACCATAGCAAATGTATCTTCTCGAGCCGACTTAAGTGTGATTTTACAAGAGAATTCTCTAGTAAAATCACGCCTAATTCCAATTTACGGTAAAAATACACGACTGCCCCTAAATTTGGAAATAATGGACTCTTTCCACAATTTTAACATCTGTACATTTGTACAATGGTACCATTGTGTTTAATCTAAATCAGTTTAATGTTAACTTAATGTTAATTTAACTTAAATGTTAATTTGTGTGACTTAATATTTACCTACCCCACTATACTTAATAAACATTGAAAACACGTAGAAAACGTCTTTAAAATTAACATATTATTCTAGGACGCTGCACAAATTATAATAAGAACAAAATCACCTGAAAATTAGGAAATAAAACAATGAATCTGCGTGATATTAAAACAATTATATTAAAGTTCTTACCAAAAGCAGGACGAATCTTACGACAGACAACACGTAAAAAAATGCACCTTTTGATAGCAAAATCAAATTAAAAACTGACATAGCGAGAAGCTATGGCATGGCAGCCTGCCATTGGCAGGCCCAATCACATGATGTGTATTCGGCCAATCAGATTGCGTTCTTCAGTTATGCGTTTTATATGGGTATGTATAAACGTAAAGTACGTTTATTTAAACGTATTAAGTATGTTTATTTAAACGTATTAAGTACGTTTGTTTAAACGTATTAAGTACGTTTGTTTAAACGTATTCAGTACGTTATTTTTTATCTATTACAGTAACTGTCTAGTTTAAAGAATGTTAATAAAATACACACGCCCTTTTTAAAGCAACATTTGTGGATGAGTATAGTGTTCTGCCTAAAGCTTACTGTATGACCATTGACTATAGAATTACTTATGCTTTTCTTAAGAATGTAATTAGAAAATTTCTAAATTTCATTTAATGTTGTTTATATACATATATGTATACCTAAGTATATTGTTTATGTATGTATACATGTTTCATCAGTTTATTAAATATTAAACGTTATAAATTATTTTTAAACAAGTTATCCCATTTTAGAGAAAAACGATGTGGATAAAAGTATATTTGTATTTGACAAAACCCGTTTTATTAACGTTATAAACATATACTTTTGAAAAAGTGAGAAAGTTAAATTATTCATTTAACATTCATTCATAATTCATTTTTTTAACGAAGAAAATTCTTAGATTTTATACCTTCAGATTTTAAATAAGAAGTCATATTGTCTACATGTGTAAACTAAGCAAAAATTTCACAAAATAAATATATAAAAAGTAATTTTAAAAGTGTTCGAAGGAGCGTGTTGAATATAACATAGTATAAATGTTAAAAGAAAGAGCTGCCTGCACAGTTCAAAAAATAATTACTTCAAACGTTATTTTCTCATTAAAACTCTTAATATTTGTGAAAAAAAATTGTGGGTTGAAACGTAATTTAAACATTTAAATGTATGGTTGACTGAACACATTAATACGTTATTGTAACGTAAAAGTTAGCCACTATTAAAAAGCACATTTAAATTCACGTTGTTTTAACGTTTAAATTAAACATTTAACATTTTAAATTAAACATTAAACATATAAATATATGGTTGAACACCTTAATAAAACGTTATTGTAACGTAAAAGTTAGTCACTATTAAAAGCATACTTAAATTAACGTTGTTTTAACGTTTAAATTAAACATTTAAATATATGGTTGACTGAACACCTCAATACAACGTTATTGTAACGTAAAAGTTAGCCACTTTTAAAAAGTATATTTAAATTAATGTTGTTTTAACGTTTAAATTAAACATTTAAATATATGGTTGACTAAACACCTTAATACAACGTTATTGTAACGTAAAAGTTAGGCACTATTAAAAAGCATATTTAAATTAACGTTGTTTTAACGTTTAAATTAATTGGTGTAAATTTATACCAATATCAAACCGTTGCTTTTTCCACGTAAAACGTTTTATTGACCTTTCAAACGTTTTAAATACGTTTAAAAAACGTGTATGTGTTTACTGGGTACGTACTAGGGTGATTCAAAAAAAGCCTTTTTTTAAAAATGAACCCGCACTGGCCTAAATTATAAAGATTACATTAAAACTAAAATATTGATACCAAAAAATCCAAATTCGATGAATATTTAGAGGTCGCTCAAATCAATTTTCGTATTTTTGCACATTCGAGCCGCGAAATTATTACTGCACAAAATAGTAAATAACTCCGTTAGTTTTTAATCGATATTATTAAAAATTTAAGGGTTAC